TGGTCAAGGAACAAAGGTATGGTCCACCAAGTGGATTATGGATACACGGCCAAGAGCTTCGATGTCTAGGCAGCGAATCGTGGATATCATGATGAACGTGTCTGATTTTATCACTCCGGAGGGCACATGGCGACTTGAGATGGTTCAAAATTTCTTCTCACCAACTGATGCTGCTAAGATCCTAAGAATGGTAGTTGGACAGAATGATGATCAGTTTATTTGGGCCTATACGGATAACGGGTCGTATTCGGTAAAGAGTGGATATTGGTTTGTGTCACAGCATCTGCTTAGTCCCACACAACCAAGAACTCCGACAGAGCAAAAATGGATTGTCTTAAAGCAACGTATTTGGAGATTGCAAACTCTTCCTAAAATAAGAGTGTACTTATGGAGAGTGGTTTCTGAAGCGTTGGCAGTAGCTGACAGGTTACAATCAAGGGGTATCAATGTAGCTCCCACATGTAAGTTATGTAATCTACAGGTTGAGACCATAGTGCATGTCATATTCTTGTGCCCGACTGCTCAACTCATTCTGAATATTGCTCAGATCCCACCTCCAAATCAGGGTTATCGTATGTCTATTGAAAGTAACTTAACCTATTTATTGGACCTCATGGAGAACTCACATGTAGAAGAAGAAATCAGAGCATCTATTCCTTGGTTGTTATGGCACATCAGAAAAAATAGGAACTCGATCTTATACGCAGCCATACAAGAGGCATTGGAAAAGGTAGTAGAGAGAGCAATGGAGGAAACGAAGTTATGGAGAAAGTTGAATCATCACGTTTCCCAGCAACATTTGGATGGCTTGAGAAGATATGCAACAACGGAAAATTGCAGAGGCCAATAAGAGGTAGACTCAAATGCAATCTTAATGCTTATTGGAGGAGCTCTCAACTACATTGTGGAGTTGCTTGGGTGGTTCGAGATGATGAGGGTTATGTCAGATTTTATGCTCGAGATGCAACTGTCGGCTCCCATAACCGTATAACGGCCGAGTTGAGATGCATCCTATGGACTATGCAAAGTCTAACATCACTCTTGCAATGGACTGCAAAGCAGGTTTTGAGGCAATCTCTAAGCCGAAAGCTTGGCAGCGGTATCGAGGTATGCTTTTGACATTGTTTAAGAAACTGTTCCTTTGAGTTGGAACAGAATGGTGAAAATCTGGTCGCTCGAGCAATTTCGAAAAGTGTCAGACGGTTTCAGTCGTATCTTGCGTTAGGAGGACCACCATGGTTACAAGATTGTATTGCTCGAGATGCAGCATGATAACATTTGTTACTCTTTCTTGTTAGAGTTGTGATGTTTTCGTTTCTATTCTCTGAGTTTTTTGGAGTTGTTGGTTTTCAAACAATTGAAAGTTGTCCTCTTTTCTTTATGGAATAAAGATCTAAAAAAAAAATATTT